TTCACATGTATTTGCTTAACTTGTGTAGAAACTGGAATAGCTATGGTCTTGATTCGAGTTGAACATTTTTGGCCACATGGACTATAGTATAGCATCAGGGGACACTTAATATCTGCTTGCCCAATCATTAGTGATGCTAAGATTGACTGATTTTTTGAAGTTTACAAAGCATGGGGCTATATTATGCCTTAAGTTTGTTTTGATGACATAATCTGAAGTCTTGACTACTAAAATGCTTCAAAATCCTCAGCAACCCACCTACAAATTAACATTTTGGAATACTTCCTTTTGAAAACAAAACTGCCTATAGTGAATTTTTTTTCATTTTATTTATTTTTTTTATTAAGTTTATTGGGGTAACATTGGTTAATACAATTATATAATTTTCAGGTGTACATTATAGTTTGACATCTATATATTCTACTGTGTGATTACCACCCAAAGTCCAGTTTCCTTCAGCTACTATATATCTGATCCCCTTTATCCACTTCACTCTCCCCTTATCCCCCCTATATTTGACCCCCTTTACCCCTTCTACCTCTTCCTTCCTTCCCCATCCTCTACCCTCTGGTAACCACTAGTCCAATGTCCATGTCCCTAAGTCTCTGTTTATCCTGTTTATTTGTTGCTTTTAGGTTTACATCCCACATATAAGTGGTATCATGAGATTTTCAACTTTTTCTGTCTGCCTTATTTTGCTTAGCACGATTATCTCAAGGTCCATCCATGTTGTCGCAAATGGCAGTATTTCATCTCTTCTTATGGCTGAGTAATATTCCATTGGATATATGTGCCACAGCTTCTTTAGCCAATTATCTGTCATAGGACACTTCGGTTGCTTCCATGTCCTGGCCACTGTGAATAATGCTGTTATGAACATTGGTGGGCAAATATCTTTTTGGATATGGATTTTCAAGTCTTTGGGGTAAATACCCAGCAGTGGGATTACTGGATCATAAGGTAGATCAATTCTTAGTTTTTTGAGGAAACTTCATACTATTTTTCATAGTGTCTGTACAAATTTGCAGTCCCACCAGCATCCTCTGCAAAATTTGTTATTATTTGTCCTGTTGATTACAGCTATTCGAACAGGTGTGAGATGGTATCTCATTGTGGTTTTGATTTGCATTTCCCAAATAGCTAGCGATGTTGAGCATCTTTTCATATGTTTGTTGGCTATTTGTATGTCCTCTAGAGAGAAGTGTCTGTTCAGGTCCTCCGCCCATTTTTTTGATTGGATCGCTTTTTTGTTATTAAGTTGTATGAGTTCTTTGTATATTTTAGACATTAGGCCCTTATTGGAGGTGTTACTTGCAAATATATTTTCCCATTGATATGGTCATCTCTTTACCTTGTTGACGATTTCTTTTGCTGAGCAGAAGCTTTTTAGTTTGATGTAGTCCCATTAATTTTTTTTGCTTTTACTTCCCTTTAAGGGAAGTGAATTTTAATTAAAAATGGACCTTCAACTCACAGGTTTGCTTTTTCTTTTCCAGGCCAGTGATGGTCGCTGACAGCGGGGCGTCTCAGCCACAGCACGCCCAGTGTGAAGGCTGCACTTACAGGTTCAGGGCTCTGATGTACATTTCCAGTTTCTCCACTTTTTCTCTCACAACCGTTCGAGCCGTTCTTTACCTTTGTGGTTCTTCTCTGAACCGATCATGTTTTATTTCCCTCAGGGAGTGGTAAAGTGAATATTCCTAGCAAATACTAAGACTCAGATCCTTTGCTGAATTTCAAGTCTGGAGATATTAGGGATTAGCAATTGTGAAATGGATATGCAAGTTTGAATCAAGAAACTTAAATTCATAGGCACAATTACCCCGAGGACATGTGAAAAGTTGGCTTTTAAAAGTGCTATATTGAATAAGTCTTTGTTCAGGGAATCAATAATGACAATATGATGCTGGGAAAAGTCACTGTAACTGCCATTACAGTAACATTCCACTTAATGAGCTGCCCGAACCAGAGGTCAGGTGTGATTTAAAAAGTATCCCTGAAACTCCTAAGACTTGCAAATCTGCATCCTGCCTGCCTTCCAAGGAAAAGAAATAACCTTTGAAAGTCAAGTTGAGAAACTTACTTAGTCAAATATATTAATTATATGTTCATTAACAGTACAACACAGGGAATATAGAGGTGGGGCAAGTATATAAAGCCTTGGCTATAGGGAGAGGGGTTACTGGAGATAGTTAATTTGCATGAAAACTGGTTTAAATCCACTCAGGTCATCCCCCTTCCCCCCCGCCCCCTGCAGAAAAAAAAAAGCAGAGAAGATGAGAATACAATCTCCAAACTAAAGAAAGTCTATGTTGCTTTCACCTGGAATGAGGCAAACCTGAATCTTTTACAAAGGCAGATCTGTGCCAGCAATCCACATAAATACATTTACTTATAGTTGAAGATCTTTCTTTGAAGAGGCAGTAAATTCATTTTACAAACTTCTATGGCAGGTCAACAGGTAATATTATAAGTAGGCAAATTTCATCTTAATGTCAGGATTATTTTCATTATGGCAAAATACACATAAATTTATCATTTTCAAGTGTGCAGGTGTGGTATTAAGTATGTTTGCAGTGTTGTGCAACCATCACCGCCATCTGTCTCCTGAATTTTTTCATCATCCCAAACTGAAACTCAGAAACACGTTAAACAGTAAATCCTCCCTCTCCCCAGCCCATGGTAATCACGTACCACTTTATGTCTGTATGATTTTGACTATTCCTCTAATACCTCGTATAAGCAAAATCATAAATATATGTCCTTTTGTGTCTGGCTTATTTCGCTTAGCAATAATGTCTTCAAGTTTCTTCTAATGTGTCAGAATTTCATTCCTTTTTAAGGCTCAATAGTACTTCATTGTATGTACATGTACCACATTTTATTTATCCATTCATCTATAGATGGACATTGGGTTATTTTCATCTTTTGGCTCTAGAGAATATGCTGGTATGAACATGCATGGACAAATTATCTTTTCAAGTCTCTGCTTTCAGTTATTTTGGGTACAGACCCAGAAGTGGAATTGCTGGATCATATAGTAATTTTGTTTCTAACTTTTTGAGATATTGCCGTACTATTTCCCACAGCTACTACACTATTTTACATTCCCGCCAACAGTGCAAATGAGTTTCAATTTCTCCACATCCTTTGTCAACATTTGTTGTTTTCTGCTTTTTGATAACAGCCATCCTAATGGGTGTGAGAGAAGAATTTTTAATAACTAAATCTGTCCCAAAAGATAGGGCTGATGGATGTGCTCTACCAAAGACTGGATAGACTGACATGTTCACTTGTGCAAGTTGTGCACTGTCCAAGTATGTCTGACCACAGGTGAGTAAAGGCTGAAATTCAGCACACATTTCACATCCGAGGTGTTGACCCTGGTGTACAGAAGCCTTTTCTGGAAGGAAGCAATAACTTTTTCTTCCCTGAAAATACTGTCAGCTTCCCATGCCATCCATACTGTCAGCTTCCCATGCCATCCATGTGTCTGAAGGGGTACTTTTTTTTTTTTTTTTTAATGCAAACTAAGGCGCACTTATAAAAGCTACTGGTTACCCTGGCTGGCTGACTCTTCATCATGGGGATGCTGTAGATAGAACATATTAATGATAATATCTAGTCTAATTGGACTAGATGACTATTAAGGCCCCTTTCAATGGTCATATTTTCTGGCTCTCTTTGATGGTTTAACAAATCGCCCTCCCCCCATACACACACACACACATACGTAATTCTTTGATACTCCATGCATTGACAGGTAGAGTCTATATCCTCTCACCTTGAATCTGGGATCTGTGACTGCTTGACTATATAAATCTGCAGAAGTGACACTGTACCAGTTTCCAGGCCCAGACCTTAAGAAATTGGCAGCTCTCACTTCTTGTCTCTTGGGACACCCCAACTTGGAATTCAGCCACCATGTTGTGAGAAAGCCTAAACTACTTTGTAGAGAGACACACACATGGTAAAAAACCAACATTCATCACCAAGTAAGTGAACTATTTTGGAAGTGGAGCCTCCAGCCCCAGCAAAGATGAGTTATCCCAGCCAAGCCCCACCCAAAGTGCAGATTAATGAGTAAAGTAAATGACTGTCGTTGTTTTAGCCCTGCTACTGTTTTAGGGTGATTTTGAGCTACAATAGATAACCAGAACAGTCTGAAATATAACGTGACTAGTGCAACATTTCCACAATAGGCCTCACACTAGGAGTGCACTGAAGGACTACAAGGCAGGGCCTTCTCTAAGAAGCCCTCTACTTTTTCTCATATGTCACAGGCAATGGCCTTTGTCCTTCATCTCCTATCCACTTCCACAAAAATCTCTATCATATAAAGACGCTGAGACCCACCTTCTGTAGTGTCTGCACCCTTATTGTTTGGATTTCTTGAGGAATCATAGCCATACTCTGGACCCTTCCACAGACTCTTAAGGGTTCCTGCTTTGCCCTGGACTAGTGGTATGGGGCCTGGAGGTGCTAGCTTCAAGGGACAAGATAAAAGCAAAAAGTACTTGATCCAGTAAACTGTCCACGTTGGCTTTTTAACTTGCTATGAGTTTAAGAGGGAGCATACAAGCCAAGCAAAAGGCAGGCAACGCAGAGGACGCTGGCTCTGTCTGCAGTGGCTCCGGTCCCAGATCAAATCTGCCGGCACTTCCTGGGGAGGGAATGGGTTTCTCTGAAAGGCCTTCCTCGGTTCTCAGGCTTGTCTGTTAAACCACCCTCCTCCTTCGATTCCAGCCCCCCCGCCCCACACACTCACACACTTCCCCGCCCCCGCTTCATTTCAGGAAGGAAACAGTTAAAAAGACTCCTGCTCTTCAGGGCCTGGGAGGGGGCGGCAGCTTTGAGCTTTATAGGAGGAGGGCTGGAAAGTTAGGACATTCTTGCTTTCCTAGAGTAGAGCAGAAAAGGTCTGGGAGCATCTGGAGGAAAAGGAGAGGACAGACGGGAGGCGTGTTCTCTGGAGTTTTCTTTTTCTTGCGAGCCCTCGCGTGCGCGCGCTCCCGTACAGCATCCCTGTGGTCTGGCGATTGTAGACTGGAAGTGGAAAGGCTCCATCTCAGCCGGTGGTCAGAGGTTGCGGGCTCGGAGAGACCTCCCCAGAGAATCCGTGCCCAGGACGTTTTCCCAAGCGTGGGCAGCTGTGCAGCCCGGGCCACCGCCGTGCCGAGCCCGGGACCCACGTCACCCACCCTCGCCAGCTTCGCTTCCTCTCGCCCAGGCGCAGAGCGAGGACCAGGCATCTGTCTGCGCCCGCTCTGCTCCACGGTTGGTGCAGCTTTTTCTTCTCAGGGATCCGGGCGTGGGTGGGGGAGATGCCGCCTGGGCCCCTCGGCTGGGAGTAGGGGGAAGGAAGCATGATTGTCGCCCAGTGCCCTGAACCTTGGGCAACCCTCCGCACGGGCTGGCACCCACCTGCCCAGGGGCGCATGGCGGAGCAGGCGCCTTCCTGTCAGGGGTGCGCTTCAGAAGTATTTGGGGAACTGATCCAAAGCCTCTCAGCCTTCCCAGGTGGGATTCGGAATTTTGGTCAAAGGAAAACCCACAGTTCTCCCTGCGTCTGCCTTTTCCCAGGCATGCAAGAACTTTGCGGAACATTACATACAGCCTTGTCTCTGGCTCGAAAGCCTACTTGTACACCGTGCCCCGCAGCCTTTTCTTACTCGCTTGCTTGTCCTCCCCATACACACGGGGTAGCGGAGGGCACTCCTTGTGAGGGACCGATGTTTTGGAAAACCCCCAGCACAGCTAGTTTGGAAACCTGCCTGTGGAGGTCTGGGCTCAGTTCCGTGCTGTCCTTTAAAGGGCACTTGTTGCCTTTCACGTGCAGAAAACAAGGGCCGTTTCTAGAAAATCAGCCTCTGTTTACACGACCCTAATGGTATTCCGGGTAGAGTTGGCGGCGGAGGGGGTGGGGTGGGAGGCATATTAAAGTCAAACGTCAGTAAGGAGAGTTCCTGCCCAGCGAGCAAAACCTACAGAATACTTGTAAAAAGTTCCTAGGGTTTTTTTTTTTTTTTCTCCTCTTGTAGAAGTTTATAGCTGCCCCTCCTTCTGTTTTTTAAGTGTTAACTCGTTGTGAAACACCTTGGCAGTCATTGCATGTAAACTATCTGCTCTAAACTCATGCCATTTGGGTAAGGTTGGAATTTCCAAATTAGTAATTACAGGTGAACTTTCATCTGGAGAGTCTGAGATAGTAAATGGTTCAAGCGTAGGCATAAGGATTCAGTCTTCTTCCTTAATAATAGCTTTTGAACTTCAGCAAATTCTTAGACCCCAAACAGAAGAATGCTGAATCTGTAAACCATGTTCTTCAGGTCTGAACCTGAGATGCTTCACTAGAGCTATGACTGATTATGACTGATGTTTCCAAGCACAGCATGACTTGGACCCATGGAAATGAGCTACAGACTCATCCTGGGAGAAACATGCATTTGAGAGCCTTCTTTTGTGTGGTTTTGAATTTTTCACCCAATGATAATATGGTATTCACATGCCTTTGCCAAGTATCCCTCAGCTCTGAAACTTAATACCTGTCGAGAGCTGATGGAGATATCATCAGAAATTATTTCTGTGGTGGCATCACTGTTGGAGGAGGAATGAAAGCGGTTTTAATGGTAGCTTGCTCACCCTTTGATAAGAACCCACAGCCTTGGCCTCCTTAGCTCCTGCTGCAATCAGCTGACCAAGCAGACCAGCAAGCTAATGTTCAAACATTAGCAGACCAGCAAGCTAATGTTCAAACCTTTCATGAGTGGTGGAATACTTACGATAGCCAGGTCCGGTCACTAAATATCCTCCTAGCAGACTCTAATGGGCAAAGAGACATTCCATTTCTTGAAAAAGCCTTCTCTCTCTTATTTTTAAGAGAACTATTACTGAAGTTTCCATTACAATAAGGAAACTGGGAAGCTTTAGTCATTACAAGGTATTGAAGGATTTCTTTTCTGGAGAGGAGGATGACAGTATGCTTTGTTCGTAGAGCCCTGGTCTCCACTGAAAAATGAAAACATTGGCATTTTGTAGGTCTATCAATATTCTGTCAGATACTCACTCCAAACTGTAAGAAGCGGGAAAAAACTGCAAACTACTTATAATTAAGTCCAGGCAAAACTGGCATGTACATAGTATGCCCCTACCTTAGAAAAATTGCTATTTTTTTCATTTATTTTTATCATATTAGACGGAGTAAAGTCCTACAAGAAAAGTAAAGTGAGGCATTATACCGGCCCTGCCACTTCTTGGCCATGAAAACTGGACTAAACTTCAAGACTCAGTTTCTTCATGAGTAAAACAGGGATTTTGCCCCGCTTACATAGAGTTGTAAAGCTCAAGTGGGATGACAGGTACATACATACTAGATTACTACTGTACATAAAATGTTATTATTTCAGATTCCTGGGGAAACCTCTGGAGAAAGCTAAAGTATACGGTATTTGTGCCTTAGATCTACTTTAGACCTTACAGACAACTTGAATCAATCTCATTTTATCCACATAGTGACTAAACCTAAGCTTTATTGATTTCCTAAATAATTGTCAAAATCTCTGAAAGTGGTTAATACCAACTATGAATAGATTCTGAAAAAGGACACAATTTTTTAAAATATTAAATTATACATCATAGATACACACACCATTGTACAAAGGAACTTAAGGTCTTCATTTAAAGATTCATAAAAACTCACAAAAAAGAAAATATACAAAATATTTAAATGTCAGAAGTCATTTTTATTTACCTTTCATTACTGTGTTACCACCAACCTCCTTCATTTTACCACCATCTTTTCTTTAAGGATTAAAGTAGAAACTAGACTATATGGGCAAGAAAGACCACTTAATCTCTGAAAATGACTAAAACAAACAAACAAACAAATGGTCTTTTGAAAATGTATAACAACCCTCCTGAGTCTACTGCTTCGTTGAAACTCTGGAAACTTGGTTAAAACATTTTAAGTGCTAAGAAGGCATGAGAATGAGAAACAGTGTTGCCTGTCGGTTAAGAGTTCAGGTTCAGAGTCAGACTAAACTGCCTTAGAAGTACAGCACTGTCACTCACTACCTGTGGCTTTGACAAGTTACTTGACCTTCCTGAGCCTCTGTTTCCCTCTATTTATAATAAAACTCTGTCTGTGCTTCACAGGGTCATGGTATGGATTAGATGGCATCATACATGTGGAGTACTCAGCACCATAACTGGGCATAATAAATGTAGCTATGTGGGATGTTTAAAAGAGAGCACGAGGCAGACATCCTGTGGAAATCCAAATGGTGTGCCTGGCCTAGGGAACTCCATTCCTCCCAATTTCACTCATTGGCAAACATCGTGATTCTAACTTATGAGGAATGGAAAAGCCAAAAACTCCTCAGATGATATAGGTTGTACACATTAACATCAAAGTTTTCAATAAAATATTTCATGTATTCAGTTATGTCATTTTTAATTGAAACTAAGATTATTAAATGTATTAATGGTGTTAACTAGAGTTCTGATTTTAAATTAACATTTTATAACACTTTAAATGGCTACCTATGCTGTATTTTTCCCTATGTTCATTGTTTACTGTGTGCAAAACACACATTTTGGAATATTGGATTCTTAATTATAGAATTTGCTAATTTTATGCCTTAAAACTATGTAACTTTTACTCAGCATATAATGCCTTTTCTCTTTCATTAATAAATGAAATTTTATATCTCAACTCTTGAAGATTTTTGTAAGTCAGATTCTTATCAGCCTAGATGTAGTAAAGAGAAAAAAAAAGGAACTTTTTATGTACTTCTTGAAAGAAAACTGACATATCCTCATCCATATTATAATCTAGACATAAATATAACTGTGGATACAGTTGAGAGAGAGAGGCAGAGAGAGAGATACAGAGAAAGAGACAAGGATAGAGATAAGTTGCCCTAATAGAGCTTTGGTCTTTTCTGGTTTTGTTCTTCCATGGGGTAAGCTGACATAGATATATCTCATCTCATTACCAAATATATCCTGCTTTTTAATTGAAGAAATAAATAATTATTGACTACAATACTACTGGCAACTAGATTTTATAACCAGAATTATTTTTTCTCTTTTCTTTTTCCAGGTGAAAAAAAAAGTGAGGGTACAAAAGCAACACAAAAAGAGACATTTCCTCAAGTTTGCATCAAGATGGAAACCTTTTGCTTTAGTGTGTCTTTTTGGGTGGCACTAGTTGGATGTGTAATCAGTGATAATCCTGAGAGCTACAGCACAAATCTAAGCACTCATGTGGAAGATTTCACCACTTTTCGTGGGACAGAGCTCAGCTTCTTGGTTACCACTCATCGACCCACTAATTTGGCCTTACCCAGCAATGGCTCAATGCACAACTATTGCCCACAGCAGACTAAGATTACTTCAGCTTTCAAATACATTAACACTGTGATATCTTGTACTATTTTCATCGTGGGAATGGTGGGGAATGCAACTCTGCTCAGGATCATTTACCAGAACAAGTGTATGAGGAATGGCCCCAACGCGCTGATAGCCAGCCTTGCCCTTGGAGACCTTATCTATGTGGTCATTGATCTTCCTATCAATGTATTTAAGGTAGGAAGTACCCACAAATATATCTGCAGGTTTGAACATATGTTCTGATTCCACAGTAAGAGAGTTACTGCAGACTTTTCTCATTTTCTGAATTTTAGTCTGTTTTTACTGAGAGCAGTTTCTGCTATCTTACAATTCAGTGACATTTTAAAATTTTATTATTTGTTAAATGTTACACTTCTTTTCTAACTTAACTGTTAACCAAATAGTATTTCAAGGATGACTCTTCAAAGTCGTAGTGTTTTATAAATCAATTCTCATGCCAGCCCTGTGCTTGCTGAGTAAATAGGCAATCTTGGGGAGATACTTGATTTTGAATAGAGTACTTAAATATATGTTCAATTTCAGTTACCTTCTTAATGCAGTGTTGTTCAGAGGCCAGATACCCACAGTATGGCTTGAAATGAAAAGCACCTATTTTATTTTGATTGTCTGGACTGATGATTGGAGCCAAAGGGCATGTTGGCTTTCCTCGCTTATCTGGAAGACTTAGAGATAATGTGGTCCAGGTGGTAGGAGGCCAGTGTTGACCTCATTGAGCAGTATTACCAAAACCATTTAAATTAGGCATCAGTTTACTGTTGCCTCCCTCATGTCTTCAGTGTACATTTAAGAGTACTCACTGTGCACCCGCCTCAGAGCTGGGCAATAAGATCCAAAGACAAATTAGACAAAATCAGTGCTTGAATGGAAGAGGCAGATAACTAACCTACCGCTACTGTGGTCACCTTGTTTTCAGGACTATTTAGTACCAAAACACACTAAAGCCAAAAGGAAGTAGATATTCCATATTTGGTCTGATAGTTGTGAGAGGAAAATGGCTGTAAGACTTCAAATGAACTAAAATTCAAATGAAATTACATGATCTATGCCAGATATTATGGAATGTCTTTATTTTAAGCCTAGGAAAAGCACTTTCTTCCACACTTATTTTTTTCTTCTATGTATTATCCATGGAAATGAAGCTATTCTGAGCAACAATATTTTGAAATATGACTTTAAATGGCAAGTTTGTCGATTGAAGAAATGCTAAATTTTAAGTAGAACAGTAGTCTTCCAGTCCCCAATAGATAAACTTAAAGTGTGGCAAAATTATACTAGCATACCAGAAAAATCAGTGGTCTAACAATAATGGTGAAAACAATGATTATAGTTGTGAACAGTACAAATAAAAAACATTTCAAAATTACTCCAATACACTGTTTGCCAAATTGGAGGAACTTGACAACAAATAATAATTTTAAAAAATCATATATCATCTCTTTCCACAGAATAGCAGAAATACATGTGTTTTCTATTTGAACTTAAAATGGGATTTTAGAACTGAACAATGATGCAAGATTGAACATGTGTAAATAACTTAAAAGGTTTAGAATATGCTACAGAACTTTAATTTTTTTCTTTAAAGGGTTACTTATCTCCTCTTTATGAAATATGTGTATTTAACACCTGGCTTTCTCATAACATATTTCTTTAATAATAGATTTGACAATGTTCATATGTTCAAAATTTGACTCTTCAGCAGTCATGGTGCGGAGTATTAAACACTGATTATTCTTATACACCATTTACCAACCCAGTAGGGCTCAGGAGAACAATTAACCATCTCTGAATTAATACCTCCCATTTCACCATGTGCAAAGCAGCTTCTTAGCAAATCAATATCTGCAGCTGTTGAGAAGAAGACTTGCTTATTGCTTTGAGTTGCAACCTGCCAATCAACAGACTAAAAACTTCATTCCTATTCCATAGCAACATTTTAAGTCAGATAATCTGGAATGTCTCCAAATTAGTTGAAAAAATTTTTTAAACACTTGTTTTACATTCATATAGTAATGGATAAAAATTAACACATTTTTATTTGACTATATGGTTCTTACCTCTTGGAAATCCAATAGAATTGTCCCTCCAAATCCATGGGTTCCACGTTAGCAGATTCAACCAACTGCAGATTGAAAATAATCAGGAAAAAAAATAAGTCATGTTGTTGCTGATGTGACTATGTAGTTAGACCTATGATGACTGTGTCTGTACTGAAAATCTACAACTTTTTCTTCTTATAATTTTCCTAAACAATACACTATAACAACTATTTACATAGCATTTACATTGTACTAGGCATTATAAGTGACTTAGATATGATTCAAAATATGCAGGAGGATATGCATAGGTTATATGCATATACTATGCTATTTTATATAAAGGACTGAGCATCCAAGGATTTTGGTATTGGCGGGCGTCCTAGAACCAATCCCCCACAGATACTGAGGGATGATTGCACTTTATATACCTATTGTAGTTCTAAATAATGTAGATAGCTTGGCTATGGTGTTTTTACGTCACAGGAGAAGATTTATGTAAATCCTATTTTTCTAAAACCCGTGTAATGAGTCATTTAACCAATATTACAGAAAGGAAACCTTTTGGGTTAAATGAAAATATTCTTTAGTCATTTCAATCTTTTTCCAGAGAAAAAGAGAAAAGCAGTGGAATGAGCTAAAAAGCCTCATAATATTTGGGAGTTATTTCTACTTCTTTCTCTCAGTCCTCTTCTCTAGGTTAGGAGACCATAAGACGTTGCTGTTTCTCTGACTTCTGCCCAGGACAGTCAATAGATAGCCTTCCTAGCAAGTGAGCTCTAGGCCCCCCTGCCATTTCTCCACAGCCGCCTCCTGCTGTAACATTCTAATGCTTTGGAGTCTCACATGTCAGACCTGTGATTCTTCTAACCATGTCAATCTACTCTGTATTTCAGGGCAAAGTAGCAGCTGTCTATCTCACTTCGCCATTATGTTTAGGTACCTATGTAATGAAAATAATGCATAGACTTGGAGAACAGTCTATTAAACGGACCCATGGAGCTTCTTTATCTCCCTCACTATTAGAAGAATTAGGTTGAAAGAACAACCATGGAAAGTATCTCCTGTGCTCTTCAAAGAAAGATGAATTTTCAAATCACACAGGTCACTATGTCTGACAATTCTATCAGTTGCTATTATACTCAGTTCTTGGGTGTCTCCGGGCAGAGCACATTGCATTGAGTCATATCACAGTCAGCATAAATGGAAGTAAACAGTGTGAAGATTGTGTCTTTGGGTGAGGCAGACTTGCTGATTACCCTGCAGTACTGTTACTAGTGATAAAGTGTTCTTCCTATTCACACTTTATCCCCTTTCTCTCACTTTGGAAGAGATTGTACTGAAAGTGTTTCATATATGAATGTGATGTAAAATATAACTGAAAAGCAATGCAGCAAAAGTATCAGGCAGGTGGGCTCTTTCTAATCCGTCATTTTCCCGTTTGGCTAGTACTGGGTGGCTCTGGATGTTCTCTGTGCATGGAAGAGGTGGTCGCTCTACACAATTTCCAAAAGTTTCCAAAAAAATCTCCATATCTTCAAGGTTTCTTCCCTCCAGCCAATACTGGATCTTGCTTCTACTGTCACTGCTCAGAAACACCCAGGAGCTCTCATGTTTAGTAGTCAAGGCCCTCTCCATTCTCACCATACTTTACAAGCCCTACTACCTACCTACTTCCTAAAATGTATGCTCAGCTCTTGTCAGAATGTCATCACTACCCCTAAGTAACTTTCCGTGCCCTAAATCAGCAGTCCCCAACCTTTTCGGCACCAGGGACCAGTGCTCCCATGAAAATCTAATGTCTGATGATCTGAGGTGGAGCTGAGGCGGTGATGCTAGTCCTGGGGAGCTGCTGCAAATACAGATAAAAATTCACCTGCTCTCGCCCACTGCTCACCTCCTGCTGTGTGGCCTGGTTCCTAACAGGCCACGGGCCTGTACCAGTCCAGGCCCTGGGGTTGGGGATCCTTGCCCTAAATAACTTTCTTAGAGAGGCTGATATAGTCACCAAATTGCTGCTTCTGAGACATTACAAATCCTAAATTGAAAAATGAGTTAGGTATGGAATTACATGTGTTGCATTAATAAAAAAATAAACCAAAAAGTAGAAAGAAATTTCTCTGACCTTTGCTTACACTTAAATATACATAGACACTTTATATTACCTAGTGATAAAATCAGACATTCTGAGACAATAAAATATAAAGCAGAAGGAAGCTAAGGAAGCAAATAAATGCCAGTTATCTTCTTGTTTTTCAATCATAAAAGTCTTGAAAATGGCAATGTTGAAAAGCTGTTAACTAAGTTTGTCAAAGGATTACTCTAAACTGTAATTGTTAAAAAAAAAATCACTAATTTCAAAATAAGACTGAAAAGAACGGGAGGGATAAAAAGAAAGGAGTTAGTGGACCCTTTCAAATATCCTCATTTATAACTTAAACTGATGATGGATTCAGTTTATCAGGACATTACTTTATCTGATATCCTGATTATTCAAGAAATGCAAAAACTTAGCCATGTAAATTTATATATAAAATATTTCCATTCGTTACAAGGATATCTGTGTTTAGGGACCAAAAATAACCCCCAATTACTAAATGGCAATATTGATTAGAATACACAGTGATTTGTGAAATATTGTTTATGCCATGAAGTGTTGTCTATAGGAAGATGGGTTATAATTTTGAGTAGAGTAGAAACCCTAAAGCAGGACTGGCACCGTGCACTTTTAGGATAACAGCTCATTCATATGTGCACACAGAGATGCCCATAAACCACTGTACTGCAGCCTATTAAGTAGAAACAGAATTGTGAGGAAATACATGTAAGAGACGAGCAGAGAAGATTAGAATGGTGGCCACGGGAAGAGGGGAGGAGTTGAGTCTAACGACTTGAACTAGAAATCTCTGAAATGCATGGCAGGAGTTGGAACCAGTGAGGTCACAGAAAATTCTGTAGGTGAATAATGTCTCCATTTAGCATGTGGAGTAAAACAGATCCAGAAGAACAAGCTAAATAGCCAGTGACAGCTTCCAGTAACTGATTGTTGATTACTAATTGAGTTCACTCTAAGCAACCACCACTTGGGATCAACAGTGAAAAATAAACAAATACAATTTCTGTATGAAATGATCAGGAATG